CCTTAAAGGGCTAAACTCCCAAAAAAATTAATTAGACCAGTTCGCTATTCCCTTGAACCCCCCATAATGTAGTAACAGTGTTCGTCTTCATATTCTTCAAGAACAAGGTGGTCACCAGTTAGCCTAAAAAAGAGTTAAGAAATAAGTGCTGATAAGACCCCCATAGACGCCTATAAAACTGTATCCATACATTGCTCTAAATTATATTTAGTCATATGAAGGAATTTCTTTATGTATTGGTGGCTGGGTCTTTGAATTACCGCGATTAATTGAACAGCTAAATTTTTCCAAGTTGATTTTTCTGAGCATAGAAAGGAATAGAAATAGGTTGAACCAGTCCAATTGAAAAAAGATTATTTGAACCAAAACTGCTGCAGAGGGAAGTGAATTAGATTTTCAAAAATCTGAATTAGTAAATTATTTCTGGTCCTGATGAAGAATAGTTTTTATAAACTTATATAAAACCATGTCCTTTAAATGTACTTATGGCTCAGCGCCGGTGTTATGTGTTTATACACAACCACCCGACTAACACACCCAACACAACACAACACACCACACCACACACACACACTAAAAATAAAAGCAAAAACGTAAAATCAGAACATAACATTAATGGTATTGTATAAAGACTTGTATCTCATTTTAAACTATAAATATAACCTTACTTTTTCTGTCATACCTTTTTATTTTGGTGGAAATGCCCAACCTCTTCACCAACTGTTCGAACTAAAACTGCAGCGTGGCATTAAAACACAATTAATTATGCAGCCCTAACGCAAACCTTAAGAAAGGTAGATGACGAATAAGAGGCAGCGCACTCAGCCAACTGACCTTGTCTCCACTGGAGTAGAAGAAGTAGCGCAGGCGGACTATGTTGCAGTGGTCCAACTTCCTCATGATCTGCAGCTCACGGTTCTGAACAAAACAAAGACAAGAACAACACATTAGTGTGATGTACAGAAGTGTTTAGTGTTTTTTTACCCATGTTACATGTCACTATGATGATTCAGCGGTAATGGCTGCACTATGGCCGTACAAAATAGTGCTTGAAAACACCATAATATCGCTTTGTCTTATGACAGAAACACATATGCCTCGAATCACCTCACAAAACAATCATCTTGTTGTCAGTCACTGTCACAAGCTCAATGTGTCGGTTTGTCAGGAATCAGAAAGCGATTTGGATGTGGTCGCTGCAAAAGAATGCTAATAAATAGCAAACGGACATTCATTCCTTCACGAAAGGACAAATCCCACGGGCTAAAACATGACGACACACTTATATTTATTGTGTGGCATGTTGCCCGTTCCCATCAAAGGCCCCAATAATTATAGAAAAAAGCCACTGTAAAGCAAATCTCAACAGCAGAAACACTAAATCTGTTAAAATAAAAGTTGTGTTGGGGCCTGTAGTGTAATGAGCCACAGGCTTTCACAAGGCCACTAGAACAAAATGGACCTTGGTAGAATACTCAATCTATACTCATATACAGCGTGTCCATGCAGAAAATAGTTGTGCATACAGTATGGACATTTTCAAAGGTGGGCAGGAATTCAAGTATTACATAAAGCTTTAACAGCTCTATTATAGTTTATATTTTCTCCTCTTCTCCCATTTCTCCTTCCCTCCCTCCTCCTCCTCCTCCTCCTCTTTATCATAGCACTTTGCGTTGACTTGATCTAATGTGCTTGTGTAACTTTTGGAGAGTGTGGCTCCACTTTAAAAAAGTGAATGGAGAATTCAGAAAACAAAAAGAAAGCAGAATACAGGGACAAAAGTTCAAATCAGGCTATGAGTAGTGGAGTCATTATATAATAGGCATATTTAACAGTAGAAGGAGAGGTTTTTTTACTATTGACTGACAAAAGCAGCACAGAGAGTAATGACATGCATACTAATATTCTGAATATGACGTTTATTGTCAGGTTTTAGTCAGAATGTGGGATTTACATAAAATAATCACTTGTTGTTACCTCATACTTGCATTAAATGGAAGTAATTACCAACCAATCAATCAATCTAATGCAGGCAAACATTTTCAGGTCACTCGTATTTTGTAGTTTGGATTATTCGTTTCTGTAAACGGCAAACATTACATGTAGAAACTCAATGGAGAGCAGAGTATGAATATGAAAGGGGAACCAGAGTGTAATCAGCTTACAGCGTACATTTTTCAGCTGTATATTTCAACTGACAAAGTGACTAATCAGCAGACTAATTCCCAATCAGACAGACTGAGTACCAGGGCTAAAAAAGTGCTCAAACAAACAAGTGACAAATATTCTTACTGACAAACTATCTCAAACTAAACGACCCAACCTGGTACAGTGTTGGTTTCTGGGTGGAAAAGGGGTCGATGAGGCTCTCGTGGCACGTGTAATTAACTGGCTGACCACAGAGCAGACGATGGTGTGATGCACCGTCTGACAAGCATTTTGTGTAAACACAGGCCTCAGGATTGGTGTAAAACTGCAGCACCCAGGTCAACCCTGCACCGGTTAACATGGATACAACACAGGACCTTGGTGTAGAAAGGAGACTAGCTCATTTGGGAACATTTTCACCATTATCTGTCTATTCTATCATTTTACAGATAAAACAATTAAACAGACAACATAAGGACCGCTCCTTATGTTGTCTGTTTAATTGTCTGTTTAATTGTTTTATTAGCCGATAAAGAAATGAATCATTATTGCAGCAAAATAAAGAAAACTGATTGGGTGACAAATGAGATCCCCCGTTATGTGGGTCAGGACCATGCTGGCTGGCACAGGGAGATAGGCCGCTGTCCTTCCACACTTTTCTGCCACTTTATGAGGATTTAATCCCCTTTCATTCATTTTTTAACAGAGCAGAGTGAGCTGTCTGTCCACTAAACAAGACCTCATCATTCCAGCAGCAGCAGTAGCAGCATCTTGTAGCTCAGTACCGTGGTACAGACAACTCCCACCAGCCTAATTCACTTACAGGCAAACCCAAATGGTTCCCACAGTCCTCCCCATGCATTTTCAACATTTACACAACTACTGCCGACACACACACACAACCCCCACATCATAAAGTGACATCATAGCGCGTGGGTCATAGACCCGCCATCGAACCATCATGCACTGCAGGCAACGCCCTCGTCTTCTTGCAGTAGCCTAGTGGGAGTGTGTGTGTGTGTGGTGTGGTGTGTGTGTGGTCGTGGATGTGTGTTTTGTGTGTGTGTGTGTTATGTGTGAGAAAGATGGTACCATATGGAGGAGGAGCAGACAGGCTGTTCAGTGAAGCCCTGCCCAGCTCCAGTTATACTGCAGTCCTTCCTGCTGACCTGTCATCCTCCAGTGTGTCAGCAGCCCAGCCAGCAGAGACAGAGCGAGACAGATGGAGAGAACGAGAGAGAGCGAGAGAGAGAGAGAGAGCGAGAGCGAGAGAGAGAGAGCGAGAGACTACCTCAATTGCAGGCTGCTAAAAATGCTACACCTTCATAGCGCTGATGTATACTGTCAGACAAAACCACATCCAGTTTCCAAAAAGATTAAGCAATTGCGTACCACCCACGCAAAGACACACGTACCATTTTACTGCTCTGCCTAAGTACCAGAATATATGCTGAATGTTTTTTAGTATTTATTTTATTGTCAATAATTCCAAACACGTGTAAATCCCCAGACTCACTAGAAAAACACAAAATATGTGATTCTATACGTTTTTTTAATGTAGCAACTACTCAGAGTTAGCTGGCGAGCTAACAGCTAACACACTACCTGCTAGCCCTAGTTGGTCAGTGTGAGTCTGATCTATTTTCTCTGTGCTGTCACTCGCCTCTGGCATTTTGTTTTCAGGATTGTGCAATATTTTGTTTAATTATAAGTTTGGGAAGAGGGGAATAAGCTCTCAGAGCCTGTTAGCTTTATAACTGTCAGTGAGCTTGTTTGTTAGCTCAGTGGCTAACAGGTCAGCAAACAATTTATTAAAGAGACGCATTTGTTCCATTAACTCCTGTCCAATAACTGTCTGTAAACAATGTCTTTTGTGTTAAGCAGCTAATACATAGAAGGTTAAATAAAACTGAATAGTGACACATCTAATTTGCTTATATCATCAAGATAGTTTTCTTATTGGGGAATGTTGGAAATTCACACGTGAATCCATCACTTGCAGCGACTTACTGCAAACTTTTTCCATGTTAAATGCTGGTGTAACAGGCCTTTAGTCCGTCTGCGTTCAGTCTCAAGCCTGTTAGTTCCTACTCATGATGTAAATCTTTAAAAATAGGATCGCAACTACATAGTTTCATATTTAGAAAAAGTAATTTCCCTAAACTGGGCACTGTAGCTTTTAGTAAAAGTTGCTCAAACTTGTTCAGTTGCAGATTAATACAAATTTGGGTCTCCAGTTTTACAGCAGCTGGAGGGTGTATACGGGATTGACTAAATCTTAGACAATACTTAGACAAGTTCATTGGCGGTCCCAATTTTTTATGTTGGATTTGTTGACAATAAGAAAAAAATGGAGTAAAAATCTCCAGACTTGCCCTTTAACAATGTTGCATAAGTGCCACTACCACCAGACATGCTCTCATTCTGTGTGTGTGTGTGTGTGAGTGTTGGTTTTAATGCAAGCATCCATTTTCCAATAGGCCGATATGTGATCCCTCTGACGGGGGTGGAGGAGGATACATACCATAATGCACCAGGAGCAGATTGTAAGCCCACCCAATAACACAGAGCCTATCACATGATTACCCTGTTTGACTAGTATGTGTCTGTGTGTGTGAGATGCATTCACACATGTTGGACCAGCATGGTTCACCTCATCCAGGCACACTTCACACATGAACACCACATCAGACAGAAAAAAACACAAGTGTAGAGAAAAGGCTTTTGAGGAGGAGGAGAAGGAATGAGGAGAAAATAGAACGCAGGTGTTTGGGTATGTTTGCGTGTGTGGGGGTACACACACTTTATGGCGTGTGCTTGGCAGTCATGTGAGGAGTCTTAGCGCTAATTTGCCTAATTTTTCGTAACAAGCTGTTCACAAGGAAGGACAGGCCGGGGCAAGTAGAAGCAGTGAGACAGAAAAGGAGACAGAGAGCGAAAAGCGGCTTAACTAGAGGGTCTGCTATAAAGAGGAGCAAACAAGAAACAAAAAAAGAAAACAATAAATGTGATCTGCAGCTAACCACTGTTTCAGCATGCAACCTGGTTCCGTGTCATGCTAACTACAGGCTAACTACAGGCTAACAAGAAGGACAGGATATGACTTCATCGTGGCCGGAGTCACAAAATAGTGTGCGTTTTGTGACAGATGGTCAATCCCCACACACACACACCATTAAGTGACATAATTTATCTTGTCTGGTTTCAGGTGGCAAAAAAACAGCTCCTGCTGAAAAACTGTACTGAACCTCCACAAAGGTTAAAGCTAGGGCACTGGGCTGCTGAAGTATTTAGCTCAGCACAACAGTCCCAATGCAAAAAACGCTGCAGGGAAACACGTTGGACTAAAAAGAAAAAGACTTTGACTAAACTTCGGGGACTCTCATGGGAAATGGAGACGGAGCTGGAGGTTCAGGAACAGGGGACAAAAGGAGACACGTAGGCTTCTCCTGCCATCTCTCTTCTCACCCCCTCTTGCTTACACACCCAGACCCTCCTGAGCGAAACAAAGAAGACATAAAACGACGCCGTACGTACCGTATGACCAAGCCAAACAGGCACATTTGTACAAAACACATCACATAGCCTAATACCAGGCTTATTCTTCAGTATGTGAAATATGTTACACACAGAATCAGAAGGTCAGAGGTCCAAGATCATTCGCTTATATAACATATCAAAGGTCTGACATCAGCATACTAACCCAGGCCTCGCCTCAGCAGGTCATTGGAATAGTTGGATATGTGGAATACACGCTGATCTGCAGCGTAATACATGGTCCACAGTTGGGCTTTGGGATAGGAATATGGCAGTTATAGGCTGAGACAACGTGGCGCCAAAGAAAAAGGTAAAGCGAAGAAAAAGTTCTTTATATATAGTGTACAATTAAACTGATATTGATTATAGATCGGTAGCTCATACAACCCCACTCCAAAAATACCTGACCTCTCACTTTAAGATATCACCAGACGCCAGTTAGCTTAGCTTAGCATAAAGACTGGAAACACAATAGGTCGTTTCACACTTTAGTTTGGTTTAGGGTCAAACAAAAGACATATAAAATGTTCATTAGTGAGCTTTAGATGTGCTAGTAGGTGGTTTTTGTTACGTTTGTACAGAGCCAGACTAGCTGTTTTCCCCCTTTCCAGTCTTTTTCCTGTGTTAAGCTAAGCTGTTGGCTGTGGCTTCTGCCCTCTCATCCAACTCAAGTAAGCCAATAAACGTACTTCCTAAACTGTCAAACATTTCTTCTAAGGGGTCTCTTGCCAGTTTCTAATCTCCTGTGGTGTAATTAGTTGTTTAAATGAGCTGAAATCCAGTTCAGAATAGAGTCAAGGTGTGTTCCTTTTTCACATATGGAAAACACCATAGTCACACATTATATTGCATCATCTTAACTGTGCACTCTGGCTGTATGTGCTGGGCCTCGTTCTGTGAAGGCCAGGGCATGTGTTACATAAAGTGTAAAGTGTAAAGTGTAGAGTGTATAGAAGGGATTAATGTAACTCTGGGAATAAAAAAATATAACCTAATATAACCTTCAAGAAGGTAGGATTTACTCATAGCTGTTGTCTTAGACTACTTTAAGCTATGTGTGCCTAATAAATATAGTGTATATGTATAGGAGCACTTACCCAACACCAACAGTAATATGACTGTTACACTGTGGACCCATAACCCTTCGACTCTGAGGACTATAAACTTAATGAGAATCTTAACAGCTGTCCTGCAGGTTTGGCAGTCTCAGGTCTTTTATCTGTGAGCTGTGAGCAAGCAGCAGGAGGCTGCCCCCCCCATCAACAACCCATCAGTCAAATCTATTCAAAGCACAGGAGGAGGATTCCAGCAGAGCTTTGCTTGGAAGGAAATATGACGTTTCCACTGTGGCAACTGAACTAAACTTGACAGATGACTGAGTATCAATGGTTTGTTTGTGAGAGAACCCCACACACACACTTCCTGCAAGAAAACACTCACATTAAAGCAAGGATGTGTCAATTTGAGAAGGCTGAGAAGTTTTGCCTTTGTTTTCTCGTGTCCCAGCTTCACTGATCTGATTGTTCTTGTGAAAGATCACTCCATTCATGTCTCTTTCACAGTTACTCACATTCATTAATGCAACAACAAATCCTACTTTAGTTAAGTTGTTAAAAAAAAGGAGAAAAGAGGAGTATGACTGCATGTTTGTGTGCATCATTATCTTTAATACGTGCTGCTTTTCACTGTCCTTTATGTGTCTTGCTTTTAGTTGACAAGTGAGACACTTGAGTAAGCTGAAAGATGGATGTGTCCATGTTTTACCTTAAACCTCTTGTCTTGCAGGACCTTCTTGATGGCCACCAACTCTCCAGAGTCGCAGAGTTTAGCCTGGTAGACGACGCCGAACGAGCCGTTGCCGATCACCTTAGTGTCCGTGTAGCTCACCTCCTGTGGCCGGTCGGGGCCTTGGCCTGGAGTGGCCACGACTGTTGTTACCTTGCTGCCATCTTTATCCCCTAAAGACAGAGACAGACAGATAAGAGAAATGCAGTTGCTCAGAATAAATGTGCACAAATTCAGCGCTATAAGGAGTGGTGTTTACAGACATGTGAGAGAGAACAAACTGATATCCGTCAAACACAAAAGCACAAAAGAGTGTCGTGTCCAGTAAATGTTCTAAACTGTTGTGTCATATTTTCAGCTCATCGCTTCTGCACTAATGATCGCTTCTGCCTTTTTCTTTTTGAATTGTGATAGTAGGAAAAAAAACAGGTATTACTAATGACATTAACAATGGCTCTATTCTGTTCAAGCGTCCCAGTAAGTCATGACAGAGAGTCACCATCTGCTAGAGTAAGACTGGAGCTCGTAAGGGCAGAATAACCTCCTTGTCAGAGAGCGTATTTGTGATTGAAAGGCTGCAGGTTCGAATGTCTTCCGAGAAAAAACAGAACAACATGTCTTTCCTAAAGCTACAGCCAGTGTAACCCCCTTTTGTTCTAGCAGTACTTCCTACTGGTCAACAGCTGTGGTTGTACTGGTCAGCTCCCAGTTGACTGACTGTTCATGGCTGAGCTGAAAAACACCATAAAATACTATATGTTTGTAGTGTTAAGGTCTGCTTTGATTGACATTAACATTAAATAACCAGAGGAAACAATAGGCGACTTATCTGCCATAGACAGAAGGACACTTGAACTCTACATTGCCTCTTCAAATGCTATAGATTATTATTTTTAAATCAGGAAGCAGAGGGGCTTTTATCCAAATCAATGCATCAAACAGGGGTTAGCGTATAGTAGGCCTAGCTTTCTGAGACTATCCCCACTGCATAGGACTCATTACCTTGGACAGATTCACCAACCATGGTGTGCAGCGAGACCAGTGCAATACCTGGGATTATCAGCACTGAAAAGTCATAAGCTAATAAGACTCGGTATCTGATGCTAATGCACTATGGATCAGAATCAGCTTTCACATGCCCCTCCTCCCCCTTTATGCCTTCCTCTCCACTCAGTCAGGAGCTGGCTCCGCTCCCCTGAGATCTCAACGTGGAGCCTTTTCCCTGCTTAAGTGGGTTCTCTCCCTCCGCCTCTGCCTCCCCCTCCCCCACCGAAGTGTCAAGGGCCAAAATTCACATCAGCTGTCAGTTAAAGGACATGAGTGTGTGTCGCGTGCCGTGAACGTGTGCTCCTGCTCCTCACTTCCAATCTCCGGCAGGCTCTCAAATGCACCCCAAAACTTCCGACACAAGCACTGCGAATAAATCCCTCACACGTGCCCTCCTCTCTAAATCTACTTATTAGACTTATTAGCATTCTCCTCCTTCACACAGACTGCAGCAGAAAAAAGCTGTATGCGAGCCCACGCAACTAAAAGACTCAAAACATCTTTGTTAAACGTGTCTAATTTTAGGTGAGCTGCTGAGATAGTCGGCGCAGCTCATAGTGCGTACAAACAATGCTGATGGGTGGATTAATGCTACTTAATAACCATGACTGTTCCCGATCAATAGAAACTTCCCCGCCACTGCTCTAAACTCTGGCAAACTACTAGCGCGTGACTGTGCGGGTTTCAAATGAACAAAATGATTTAGGTAAATGAATCCAGCATGGCTTAAATTCTTTTAACGACGTTTTGACTGAGAAAGTAAGTGGTAGTGCAGAGGTTTACTAGTCTTATCCATTTTTAATATTCATTGGCTCTTTTTTCCAGCAGTGTTATTGATTTTGACACAAATAGTGCCTGCGTAGACATACACACTCACATATGAGCAAAGAGCAAAAATAGATAAAAACTACGCCTCCATGCTCCAACCCAGACATAAAATAATATACGTGTGTGTGTGCGTGTTTCCTTCTGCCAGTGTGTGACCAGTGAGTGGTCCAATTACTGAAGATGTGCATACAATCAAAGGGAAAGGGAGGGGGTGAGGGTGAGGGGACAGGCCTTCACTCTCCAGGACCGAGTCTAGTAAGAGAAGCTGAAAATGGATTCTTTAACGACAGAAATAGACTTTCCAAAAGTGTGTGAGTGAGAGAGTGAGAGAGAGTGAGAGTGAGAGAGTGAGTGAGAGAGTGAGTGAAAGAGGAATATGAGTCTGCCTACATATTCCAGCAAGGCCACTTCTGTGACGCCCCTGCATTTCCTCAAACCGTGAGAAAAGTCTGTACACACTCACACACACACCCCGACAAAAACACTTACAACTTACAGTGAGATCTCACGCTGGTGCAAATAAGGAATGACCAGGCAAGCAATGAGATTGCACTTGAAATGTTTTCCAAGTGACTGGTTAGAAGCCTGTGTGAAGCATGGCCGTCCACACACTCACCTCCTATAGCCTATACAACTCTCATCATTGGCTTATGTTCACACAGATGTACCTCCATTTCAGACTTGTAGAAAACTGTTCAAAGCTTTTTCTTTTGTTCAAGCTAGAAGCACCTTTCCATTCAAATAAATTATCCCCAAGTAAAAATGTCCCTTGGCCCCTGTTAAAAGGTATGCCACAAGAACTAAAATCACAAACACCTTGGAATACTTGCTTGCAGCATCTCCACGGCGACTGTCAATCAGCCTCCCACGACAATATACTTAGTATGACAAAACACAGAGCATGATTTCACGTACATATGCTGCATCACTCAGCTACAAAGTGCCACACAAGAGACAGCTGCTGCGAATTTTAGCCACAAGCGTCAATAGTCAATTAAGGTCACCAGACTAGTGCAGGACACAACTGAATATGGCTAACGTGCGCACACAATGGGGCCAAAACATCACCAGTGTCGAGCAGTTGCAGGACACACGTGGGTCTGGGAATCATTCCAAGTGAGCCGCTTTGTTACTGATACCAAAATGTGACAAAAGATTCTACAAAATAAAATGAGGAAAACGTACCAAATTCATCCATGTTTGTCTAAATACAAAAACGGTGCATTAACTTAAGCAATATGATCCAAGTTGAAATGAAGAAGACCAAACATTTAATGCCAGCTTGTCAACGCAATTAGTGCAAGACACAATGTTGGTATAATGAGCTTAAATTAGGAACTTTGTTCAGAAATAATCATTTACACCCTGTTTTTCTGAAATGCATATGTGCATCAGTAACATCAGCATCACACACAGCTTGGGAGCTTTGAGTGCACAGTTTTAAGCTTACAATCTGTGCACAGGAACCTAATTGTTGATCAAATTTCAGCACAAAATGAATTTTTTGTCTCTCTAGAAAATCGTTTCTACTAAGCGTTTACAAACTTGACTTTTACATGCAGCGTTTTCTCACAGGTTTATAGTGAAAGATTTCGAAATTACTTCATGATTTTCAAAAGCTGAAACATTTTTTGAGCATCATGTCAAATCTTTTCTTAATAAAAGTAGACAAAAACGCTGCCAGTCTGGCATGATTACACTATGCCGTCTGTTCGAGACACACGCCCAAAAATGTGACGTTATTAGTAAAGTTGACTGGCTGTTCAAGCAAACTATCTATTAATAAATAATTGCCTTCAGATTGATATCCAACATGATAGAATCCCTTAATACTGAAACTCAACTCTCTTCACTTATATCCAGAGGACCATTAATAGATGTCTATATATGTGTTCTATCTATTTTGTCTGGCATGAGAGTCAATACATGAGCCCCCCATTTTCGAGGTATTATAGTGGTATAAATGTGCAGTCTTAATCTATGAGAGACCGGTTGTAGTGGTCACATTATTCATGTATTTTCTGCAAGATGAGGGATCATTTTCACACCATTCACATCGAATCACTACGATTGAATGTCACATAATGTGCACCTGCCAAACTGTCCCCATCTCCTCTCGGAAACACATGCAATCACATGCATATATACAGCGTGTATTAACTGTTGTAATCACACACACACACA